AAAGGAAAATCTTTATTTACAGGCGAATATAGAGTCACTATATAATTGACTACAGTAATAAGTTTAGCGACTTTAAAAATTTTACTATTTACTTTGACCTGGATTTTACCCAATAATCTTCTGGATGTAAATCATTCTATTCCCAAAGTATTTTCTGCCTTATATTTTTCTTTAGGATATATTCCATATTTCGTGAATAGTGTGCACTGATCGTTTCTTTTGGGCATGGTGACAAAACCATCTCCTGATTAATACTGAAACCAATAACATTTCATTTAAATCACAAACCTGGTATAAAGAAATGTCATGAGACTGTGAAGCGTTCACAGTAATATGAATGCATTATAATTCACGGAATTAGCAAGTAATAAGATGGGTTACGTAATAATTCGTTTCCTTTTTTACAGTTATATAGCGATCTGTTAAAGTACCCTGTCACTTATCCACGCTTACTTGGTCCTATTCAAATTCTACGTAACCCAACTTATCAATTTTTAAATGCATGGATCCTTTATAACCTATAAAATTTTCACACCACTTATACGTCTGTGAACTCTACTCGACCCACCCACCCTTAATGTATCCTTTCTTCTATAAATAAATGACCTTTGACCTGCATATATGCATATGTACTTTGTTATTATTGATGACCTACTTTATTTCAACTATTTATATTTACTTATATCAACTGCTTCATACCTAAATGTTAAATTGTAATGCACATTTCGTTGTAAGCAGCTGAGAAGAAACCACGAAATATAATGAATGCCTATTCAGTAAGACTTTACGTCCTTCTTAATTCTTACAGACACTGACTCGTGGACAATATCCCCAACAACGAAGGAATGAAAGGAAAACGAAAATTATGAAGTACTTTATTTAACTTTTTAGCATAAAAACTTGTTTACAGGTTATCATTAATGATTCTTAAATAATAACTGTTCACTTTCTTCTCAAATTCCGTTGCGAAACTTTCACCATACTTCCATAGGATATGACGCCTGTTAATTTTTTGGCTTCGCAGAACACTTATATACTCATTTCTTTGTGTCGATAGTGCTATTGATGTGTCATTTCGCAAGTTATTGGTAACACGTAACTTCCACCTGCAGTACCTAAGAAGTTCATTAGCTATACAGTTTATATTTCAAAATCAATATAGCTTACCTGAAAGAGTTCGTCTTTTAAAATATACGAGTAGCAGATGGCGGCATGGGTATCGACACATAAGAAATGTACTACATTCACATTCAAAAGTATTTAGATCCACTGCATAAAGCTTCCCGCAATCAACAATAGACACCGTCTCCGGCTTCATATCCCACAGAAACAAAACGCATATGTTTAAGTTCGTATAAAACTTTAGCTCGCGCGTATGGCGTAAGCATTTTCAACAACGTGTGTGATACGGACAGCCGCGCTTTCTGATCTTGCACAGTCCATAACAAATGTTTCTGTCCGTCTTGTTGTTCCCATGATTTCTTTAAAATTGTCTAGAATCCAGGTGACATCTGCACGCATTTCCTTTAGCGTCCAGGCAAACATGACCGTACGTCCTCGACCAAAGTTTTCCGTCACAACCAACTGAAATAAGGAATATCTACAAAATAGAATACAAGCAAAAGAACAATCACTTCTTATTATTGGTATTATAAGTAGAATCAATGCAAACAACTTCCGGATATTCATTGTACAAGTGCATTTGGTCATAACTACTGAAACATATTCTCGTTACATATCCATTTTCTAAATGTTTCCTAACTTCACCTTTCTGTCGCAGCAAATCCATAACATTTTTACGCGTACAACAACCTGAAATATACTTTTATACACTTACCTGTGGAGAGTTCAGCTTTCATAGACTTGACATCAACAACAGTGACCACCTTACCAGTTCTCTCATTGACACATTCTATAAATTCATCAGTTGACTGCGACTGCAAAATGACTGGCTTTAAATTCTTTTTTCTTCCGATGGTAATCTTCTTGTCCATGGATCACAAACCATCCATGAACTACTACATGGATGATTGTGGAGCATCTTGTAGGATTTGATGACATATCCTTCCGCCTCCAGTCTTACACGGAACTTTGATTGACAATTAAGGAATTTAGACCTTAAACGTCACATATCAGATAAAGTTCTCACGATTTTCGATTCACTTTCAAACCTTCTGATTTCCGCTTATGACCAAATGTACAATGAAAAGCAACAAACAGGTACTTGAACCTGACATCCTTCAGCAACCTGCTTTCTGCGTGGATGTAATGAGTGCACGTAGTCTGAGAAATGATAAAATCACTCTTCCATACTTTTAGGGCGTTATCAAAGTCATCACTACGGAATGCCTGAGAAGATAGTTAACATCACACGAAATTCCTATGATAGATTAAACTGCAAAATCGTGCATAGAGGACAACTGACAGACTCGTTCGAGGTAAAGACTGATGTCAGGTAACGTTGCTTACTCTTACCCTTTCTCTTTCTCCTGGTGATCGACTGGGTTATGAAGACGTCAACATCTGAGGAGAAGCATGGGATACAATGGACAACAGCTGGACGGTCTGAACTTCTCAGATGATATAGGTATTCTATCGCACACGCAACAACAAACGTAGGAGACTGCCCGTGCAGCAGCAGCCTCAGCAACAGTGGGCCTCAACATACACAAAGGAAAAATCAAGATTCTCCGATACAATTCAGCATGCAACAATCGAATCACGCTGGAGGGAGAAGATTTGGAAGACGTAAAAGCCTTTACATATTTGGGCAGCATCATTAATGAACACGGTGGATTTGATGCAGGTGTTAAGGCGCGGATCGGAAAAACAAGAGCAGTATATTTACAATTGGAGAACATCTGGAACTCAAAACAACTGTCTACAATTGAACACGAAAGTCAAGATTTTCAATACAAATTTCAAGACAGTTCTACCGTAGGTGGCGTAAACTTGGATAACCACGAAAGCCATCATCCAGAAGATACAAGTGTTTATTAACAGTTGTCGACCCAAAACACTTCGGATCCGTTGGCCAGACACTGTCAGCAACAACCTACTATGTGAGGAAACAAACCAGATTCCAGTGGAGGATGAAATCAGGAAGAATTGCTGGAAGTGGATAGTACACACATTGAGGAAAGCACCCAACTGCGTCACTAGGCAAGTACTCACATAGAATCCTCAAGGTAGAAGGAGGAGAGGAAGAACAAAGAATACATTACGCCGAGAAATGGCAACAGACATGAGAAAAATGAAAAAAATTTTATAGAACTGGAAAAAAGGTCTCAGTAAAGATAGGGTTAAGAACGCTGGTAGGTGGCTAATGCTTCACTGGGGGTAACAGGAGTACGCAAGTAAGTAAGAAAAGCATTGACGCAGGCGTCTTAAATAGAACATACTTCAGAGTGTGTCTAAAAGTTTGAGATTAGTAATATATTGATACGTGAAGAAAAGCGTAGACACAAGCAAAGCACTAAAGCTGTCAGGAAGCAACCAAAAATAAAACTCAATAACACAGTTGTTTGGGTAGAACACCACATCGGCATTTTGTCAACTAGTCACGACTCACAATATCGCGCATTTGATGGGGCTAAATTATTAGCCAGTCAAGGATGGAAACTAAGGAACATATTACGTCGGGAAATAGAAACAGATAAAAAAGGATGAATAAAAACTGGAAATAAGTTGGAAGGGCTGTCCATGTCTGGGTTAGATGGGGAGCCCTGATGGGCGGCCTATGCTACTCCACGAGAAGTAACAGGAGTATGTAAGAATGGACACTGGATAAAGCAGCATCAGAGAAATGACCGCAATCTTCAGCCGGTAAATTCTCGGGAAAATAAACGCAGTTTCATAGCCAGTCTCTATCAATTCGAGAGTTAGAATACACTTTAAAAAATACGTATAGAACATGATTCAAGGAGCAAGAACATAGAGTACATCCTGTTATGTCTGATCATGTTGTGCTCACCAATGACACTACAGCTACCTAGGATGAATAGATGTCAAAAGATGTATTCATCAAATAAAATATGACTCAGTGAAAAGACTTGTCCGAAAGCCTTCATTGGGTTGTTACAACAGTAAAAATGAGATTTTCAAACGTTTACAAAGTAAAGGACCTAAGGAAAACAGATAGCACTGAACACAGATCAGGATTTCGTAATTTAAAAAGTTGAGCATTTACACCAATACACTATTCCACAGGGAGAAATCAATTCTCTGACTTCAGATTCAGGGCTAATCCTCAGTCTAGGAGATGGTCATAAGTGGAAACTGACCCGAAATAGTCTACCACAGCCTCTGCTTTTTCCTGGTCTTCCTCCATTGACTGAGATTCATACCCTACTGTAATTGCGTTGAGGAATCAATGGCGCGTCCTTATCCTGTGATTTATGTACAACAACAGTCTCTCTGACTGCCTGGTTCCAGATTGTGCCAACCTATTTCCACATTTTTACTGAGCTACCTGGGTTGTACTTCTACACTTATCTCTGACCGACCTGAAGAGTTCCATCGTATTTGCTGTACCAAGGCTGATGGCAACGCTACAAAACGTTTTCTTTCATCTTGATGATCGTCGAATCTCATGATCCATCCACAAATGACAGTGATTCTTCTTCTCTAGAACTGTCAGTATGTAAATAGCTGAGTTACATGACTGCAATTATGAGACCATGTCACTCCTACTGATGAGATCATATTTTATTTATTTTTAAATCTGCCTTGCTGCGAAAGCCTATTCTCATATCACCAGTTTCTGATGCATGGATTACTAGATTCATTGAGAGTTCAATTTGTTTTAACCATCTTATTCGGAAGTTCCAGAAATCAGTATATATATACGTCAGCTGTTTACGCAGTATTTATTATTGTATTCGAAAATACTCGCGAAATGCAGATATTTGTGAAGACGTTGACTGGTAAGACGATCACGTTGGAGGTGGAGCCTAGTGATACTATTGAGAATGTGAAAGCGAAGATCCAAGACAAAGAAGGTATTCCTCCTGACCAACAGCGTTTGATATTCGCTGGTAAACAGTTGGAAGATGGACGTACTCTGTCTGACTACAACATCCAGAAAGAGTCGACTCTGCATCTTGTCCTTCGTCTACGTGGTGGAATGCAGATCTTTGTGAAGACGTTGACTGGTAAGACGATCACGTTGGAGGTGGAGCCTAGTGATACTATTGAGAATGTGAAAGCGAAGATCCAAGACAAAGAAGGTATTCCTCCTGACCAACAGCGTTTGATATTCGCTGGTAAACAGTTGGAAGATGGACGTACTCTGTCTGACTACAACATCCAGAAAGAGTCGACTCTGCATCTTGTCCTTCGTCTACGTGGTGGAATGCAGATCTTTGTGAAGACGTTGACTGGTAAGACGATCACGTTGGAGGTGGAGCCTAGTGATACTATTGAGAATGTGAAAGCGAAGATCCAAGACAAAGAAGGTATTCCTCCTGACCAACAGCGTTTGATATTCGCTGGTAAACAGTTGGAAGATGGACGTACTCTGTCTGACTACAACATCCAGAAAGAGTCGACTCTGCATCTTGTCCTTCGTCTACGTGGTGGAATGCAGATCTTTGTGAAGACGTTGACTGGTAAGACGATCACGTTGGAGGTGGAGCCTAGTGATACTATTGAGAATGTGAAAGCGAAGATCCAAGACAAAGAAGGTATTCCTCCTGACCAACAGCGTTTGATATTCGCTGGTAAACAGTTGGAAGATGGACGTACTCTGTCTGACTACAACATCCAGAAAGAGTCGACTCTGCATCTTGTCCTTCGTCTACGTGGTGGAATGCAGATATTTGTAAAGACTTTGACTGGTAAGACGATCACGTTGGAGGTGGAGCCTAGTGATACTATTGAGAATGTGAAAGCGAAGATCCAAGACAAAGAAGGTATTCCTCCTGACCAACAGCGTTTGATATTCGCTGGTAAACAGTTGGAAGATGGACGTACTCTGTCTGACTACAACATCCAGAAAGAGTCGACTCTGCATCTTGTCCTTCGTCTACGTGGTGGAATGCAGATCTTTGTGAAGACGTTGACTGGTAAGACGATCACGTTGGAGGTGGAGCCTAGTGATACTATTGAGAATGTGAAAGCGAAGATCCAAGACAAAGAAGGTATTCCTCCTGACCAACAGCGTTTGATATTCGCTGGTAAACAGTTGGAAGATGGACGTACTCTGTCTGACTACAACATCCAGAAAGAGTCGACTCTGCATCTTGTCCTTCGTCTACGTGGTGGAATGCAGATCTTTGTGAAGACGTTGACTGGTAAGACGATCACGTTGGAGGTGGAGCCTAGTGATACTATTGAGAATGTGAAAGCGAAGATCCAAGACAAAGAAGGTATTCCTCCTGACCAACAGCGTTTGATATTCGCTGGTAAACAGTTGGAAGATGGACGTACTCTGTCTGACTACAACATCCAGAAAGAGTCGACTCTGCATCTTGTCCTTCGTCTACGTGGTGGAATGCAGATCTTTGTGAAGACGTTGACTGGTAAGACGATCACGTTGGAGGTGGAGCCTAGTGATACTATTGAGAATGTGAAAGCGAAGATCCAAGACAAAGAAGGTATTCCTCCTGACCAACAGCGTTTGATATTCGCTGGTAAACAGTTGGAAGATGGACGTACTCTGTCTGACTACAACATCCAGAAAGAGTCGACTCTGCATCTTGTTCTGCGCCTACGTGGAGGCATGTGATTTTTGTTAAAGTAAAATTAAAAAAAAATAAATTTCAGTTTGATTTTATTTCTAAATGTAGTTCTGTTTTCGCGAGGTCCTGATGATGTTAGTCTGTTGTGTTGTATCAGGTAGTGCATTTTAGGGGTGTAATTTGATCGATGGATATTCGAGCTTGTACAGATTTCAGCTAAGTCATTCACGGTTTAGTCATGTTGTAGAACGAGTTGTTTGGACACAATGTGTTTGATGACATAGGTATTAGGAGTTGTACCATATTGAGTAGGGATACGTGTTCAAAGATTTGTGGGAAAGTAATCGCGAATAAAGTGATTGTCATACTACAACCGATTTCGTGACATTACTTAGTTCTTTACTGTAGATATTGACCGCATATCAGACTTTAGTTTGTATGTCCAACCCACTATTAGCGTCTTCTCCTAGTTCCCGTTCCAGCTGGATGCTGGTTTGTTCTCTCCCGCAGTAAGCTGTTGCTGGTGGTATCCGGCCAACGGACAATGAGTATGTTGTAGGAAATTGCTTATAAATACCTGTACGCTTTTGATGGTGGTTGTAATAGTTCTCGGAGTTTAAGCTCTGTACAGTGGAACTGTCTTGATATTCGTATTGAAGATTCTGACTTTGATATTGGTTTATAGACAGTTGTTTTGAGTTCTATATGTTTCTCAAATGTAGGAATGCTGTCCTTGCTTTGCCAAACCTCCCCTTTGTATCTGCATCAGGTCATCCTTGTTCATCGATGATGCTTCCCAGGTAGGTGAAAGAACGCATCTTCCAGAGTTTCTGCATCAAGTATAATTGGGTTTGTGTTCTCCGTGTTGCATTTGAGGATCGTAGTTTTTCCCTTGTGTATGTCGAGGTCTGTTGCTTCAGAGACTGATGTTACACTGGCTGTCTTGATATACATTTGTTGATGTATACGGTATGGAAAGGCCAGGTCATCTGCGAAGTCTGAACCGTCCAGTTGCATCCAACCTGTCCATTGAATTTCGTGACTCCCTTGAGATGTGGAGATCTTCATAGTCCAATTAACCACCATAAGAAACAGAAAGGACGAGAATAGGTAGTCTTGTTTGACTCCGGTCCTTACTTGGAATGCGTCTGTTAGCCGTCCTACATGCAACACTTTGCACTGTAGTCCGTCGTATGAATTCCGTATGATGTTGACAATGATCTCAGCTACTCACTCCACAGTGTGGAAGAAGTTTCCATAAAGTCCTCCTACACACACTGTTGAATACTTTCTCGTAGCCAAGGAAGTTGATGTATAGCGACGAGTTCCATTCCCCCGAAATCTCCTTGAATAGAACGTGGAGTATGTTCGAAGTTACTTCTATATCTGTCTGCAGTAACAGCAGACAACTGTTCAAACTTGTCAAGGAGCAGCAGGCTCTGACAGGTTTAGCCCTGAGATTTTTAAGGATGGCAGTCAAGTATTGGCAGTGAGATTGACTGAGGTCGTAGGTAGAATCAGGGAACTGGACGTAATCCCGTTTGACTGGTCTCAACTACTGATTGTGCAAGTCTATAAGAAAGGACAAAAGTCCTCTTGTGACAATCACGGAGGAATCAGTCTGACTAATATATTGTACAAAATATTAGCTTCAATAATACTTCGACGCCTAAGTAAAGTTCGTGAAGAGACAACTAGAGAAAAGCAGGCTAGTTTCAGACTTGGACGTGGCTATATAGACCAGATAATAACACTTCGCTTTGATGATTCTGGATCCATGAGATTCTCATTCTATAAGTGTTTTCCATGCTTCTTTGGATAGCATCAAAACAACTCCCTGAGTGTGTGGAGCGTTTTCTTCTTCATGACCAGAGTACAACAGCATCTGTAGCAATTCCTACAGTAAGTATTTCTGTTAGGCTTTAGTTTCTTCTCAAAAGGTTCACTGATGAAACTGATATGACTTGTCCGGATAGAGGATCTTATCGATGACTACTTTGAGAAAATGGAGTCCTATCTTGAGTGTGTTTAATTGTGAGTCTTTTTATCTTTTTGTGAAGGCGTCAGGGATGACTAATCTTAAAGCTAACAAGAAGGTAGATATGTCAGCACATAACTGATCGTTAAGGGTACGAAATTTCAATGTAACCTGGTCTCACATTTGATTATAAGGTAGGGAATTTAAGTGTTGTAATTTCTTATGATGCGAGAAACTGGTCAGGACTTTTACTGTGTTATTACTTACTTGTTAGACATGCTCGAGAGTGTCAGTATCTTTAAAAAGACATGGATTAGCTGCTTGAATGCAGTATTTTAGGTGAAGTGTTAGGTGAGTGGAGTATGAAGTCTGAAATATATTTCCGTCAAGGCATCTAAAGATTTTGCGACACCATTTAGCATCTGTTGCATTGTAGTGTGTGGTCGTTTTCAAGTCACGACTTAAAGTTTCTAGGTGTTCTTAATCTTGTGAGAGTGGCGTTCCATTTGTCATGTAATTCTGGTTGTTGTTAATGTTGTTGTGCACTCGATTACTTTCTGACATTGATCTTCCAATCCAAACTTTGCGAGCACCTAGCTCACTCATTTGAATCAGCTTACTCTCGAGCTTAGTATTATCACTACTTATTTTCCTTCCGGCTATTTATATTATCTGGAAAGTATACTGCGGTCATCCCACTGAACACATTTGATCAGAGAACTGACTTAACATCATATGGATTATTTTGATCGACATAATGATTTTGTCTCCTTAGTTTTACGCTGAATGCATGGTGTAGTATCAATGTACCAAGTATGTTTTTTGATTGTGTAACTGATATGAGGTTGTCATATGGAAATGACCTTTTTGACGTCAGCCCAACTAACTTTTAAGTCCAGCTTGTGAAGATTATTTATTCTTGCTTATGACCAAACACCTCAATCCGTTTTGATCAGCATCACGTTTAGAAAACCAAGATTGTCTGCTAACCGTTCAAATGGATTTGTTACGAAAATTATGTTGTTTATAGGTATTAACTAAAGCGATTTCAAGCAAATTTACTGATGTATACCGTGTGACATTTACTGAGGCATATCTCGCTAGAATGTATGTTTGATTCATGCTCTCGTTGTGCTTTCTATATGGTTCCGTATAATCCTTTTAGTATCTATCAATGCATAGTAGGACAACATAACGGTGGATTGTTAGCTAAAACATCCCACTTTCAACCAATAGGTTGTGAGTGCAAGACCGCTCCACACTTAAGCCTGGATAACCGAGTATTATCAATGAATCTCAAACATTGTGACTGGGAGTGCACTTACATATAATGTGAGCCAGTATCTTTAGGTCTGCAGATGAATACCATAGTGTCAGACCACTTTAGTCCATTTCTTGTAAACCACAATCCTCATCTACTGCTATCATTAATTTTTCATCTCAACATGAACCTGATTAGATTCATATGTCATAAATATTTACTAGGATTCTAGGAAATGCATGGCAGTCACCAATTAAAGCAAGGTGATAATCCGGACAACTTTGCCTGTAGCTCTCTTAGGGTTTATACCAGCCTGGACAATATGGGAGACCGATAGGACCAATCAAATAGTTACGAAAATGAGGAGATACAACTTGGAGGTGCTCGGAATCAGTGGAAGCCGTTAGATCCAAGCTGGACAGAAAGCATTAGATTCGGGATAGATGCTGTTGTAATCTGGTCATAAAGAAGAAAACACTCCGCACATTCAGGGAGTTGTTTTGATGCTATCCAAAGAAGCATGGAAAACACTTATAGGATGAGAATCTCATGGATCCAGAATCATTAAAGCATCATTCAGAACAAAGAAGAAGGGGATCACAATGAATATTATCCAATGTTATGCATCCACCAATTATAGCAATGAAGACGATAAAGGCCAGTTTTACGAGAGGCTGTAATTGATCATAGTGAAGTGTCCAGGAAAGGACTTGGTCATCCTGATGGGAGACCTAAACTCCAAGGTCGGAATAGACAACACCGGATATGAAGATATCATGGGGCGACATGGACTAGGAGAAAAGAATGACAATGGCGAGAGATCTGCAGATTCACGTGCATTCAACAAAATGGTTATGGGCGGAACTGTATTCATCTTCCCCCACATACGCATACACAAAGCTACATGGGTCTCACTGGATCACATTACAGAGAATGAGATCGACCATATTTGCATTACTGAAAAACATTCAGAAGGTCAATGGCAGACGTGAAAACGAAGAAACAGATAACCACCTGATTGTCAAAATGAAAATGAATATAGGCAGATGAAGTTTTCCATATAGGTAACAGTAAGTACTGAACGACTTATTTAGCCAGTGGATATATAAACCTTGTCTATTAGAGACTACTTTGCCGGTGAACTATATGAGTGTCGTCGTTTTTTTCGTATTTATTATTTTTAGTTCGAAAGGTTCACTAAGGTACTGAAAAGTTAATTTATCCTCGTTTCAAACTCCTTACCAAGTTTTACAGCAATTACCATATTTTTAATTCATTGAGTCATAATCTTTGTGTATTCATTAATATACACTGCGAAAATGTTTCGGATTTGAGTGACGCCGTTGTCATACCATCTCTTATATTCCAGTTGATGATCGTTCGTGAATAAAATTATCATGCTGAAGATCTTCTAGCAACAGAGATAGAGATGTACTATAGAATTGGCTATTGAAAGTGATGAATGAGTATAATTGGTGGTATTGATTGTCTGCACATGATGTTATTATGGTGTAACATGAAGAAGAGATCACAAACACACGTGAAGTGATTTTTGTAGGAATCAGTTTGGTTATTTCTCATTTGTAGATGTTAAAAGTTTGATTTATGGTATTTTCATAACCATAAATCTGTTATTTGTTACAAATTTCCTGTGTGTATATCTTTGTAGGTTTATTATTTTTGATTTGTTGTAGTCTAGCATTTTATGTTTTGTCGTGTGAGTTCTTGACTTCGAATAACAAGGTGTTTGGGTGATTTTTCTGGTGTTCTGATTAATGGATTGTGTGAATACTGTTTGAGTCTATCAGTCGTTAGCGTGCACAGTAACTTCGCCGGTGGAATCAGTGTTATTAGTCTAGGT